CACACACACACACACACACACACACACACACACACACCCCCAGCACTCAGTTCAGTATTTGTCACTTAGTAGGCATATACTAAACTTTTGTTGAATTAAATTGAAATTAATTTATGAATTATTTATGAATATTCATGGAGATTTATTATTTATATATTTATCATTTATTGTATTATCAATAATAATATTTGTGAAAATATTTATGAATAATCCATTCATTCGTCACCTGCTGTGTGTAGAACCCTGGGCTGAGTGCTGGGCAGGTACAGAGATAAGTAAGGCCCTCTCCCCAGCATCGTGGACTTTGCTGTCTTTCTTCATTGCCTCCTCCTGCTTGGCAGCAGTCGCCTTGGCCTAGCTGTCCCCCTCTGCATCTGGCCCGGCCTTTCTGTGAAAACATCCCCACCTGCTGGGCAGCCCTTACAAGAGGCAGGATTTTATAATCCAGTCATTTCAGGCACAACCAATTCAGCCTCATGCAGCTGACTCCTGGCCTATAAATTTGCGCCACATTCTGTTACACCACTTCGATTTTCCCTTGATCGCCTCCGCCCTAGCACCCCAGCCCTAAGAAACAACATTGGGTTTGGAGTCAAGAGACCCGGGTTCAGATCCCTGCTCATCCACTTACTGGCTGCATGGCTTTAGGTAAGCCCCTTCCCCTACCTTGGCCTCAGTTTCCTCCTTTGTAAAATGAGGAGGTTGTACCAGATAATCCCAAAGGTCTCTTCTTGCTATAACATCTTTTGACTGTCCTTGTGGCCACTGCTTATCTCAAGATCCCTGCCCTTCCAGATTCATTCCCAGGTCTGCCTTGGGATAAGGAGAGTTTTCAGATGTTCCATGGATTCCCCAAATCTGTATTACCACCACCCATGACGGGACATCATCTCCTCCCCAGCACCTTGTCCCTTTATCTTCTAGCTCTAGTCCCTCTCCCTGGAGAGGTAATGAATTAAAGAGAGCTCCGCACTTGGGGTTGGAAAAATCTGGGTTCAAGTCTGGCCTGTGACCCTGGGAAATAACTCAACTTCTCTGTTCTTTGGGCCAGTGGTGTCAAACTCAAATAGAAATGGATCCTTGTGGTATACTGACTTAGAAAACCATGTTGTCTTTGTTACTAGTTTTCATTTATTTTGTTAACTATTTTCCAATTACATTTTAATCTGGCTTGGCTGCACTGGGTGTGTTGTGGGCCAGCATGCTGTCTGTGGGTGTACCCTGGATATGATACCTCTGCTTTGGGTAACTCTCGAAGACCCTGCGGTGCAGAGAAGGTACACAGACCTGCATTGGTAAAGAGAGTTCCCTGTACTGATACAATCCCAGGCCCAGTTCCTATCCACATTCACATGGTGGCTTTACACCCATTCAAAACACCCATGTGAAGTAGGAGAAGAGGAAGGATCACTCCCTCCCCATTTGATCCATTAGGAAACCCCAGCTCAGGGAAGGTGTAGGCATGGTGCCAGATCTTCTTATGCCAAGAATACTGTTCTTTCTGCTTCTTCATCCTGGACTTCTAGGTGTCCTCTTGGCCTGTGGCATTGAGAGATAGGCTCTGCCTCCTTTATCTCAATCCAGTTCTCTCTAGCCAGGGTCCGCACACCAGGTGCATAAGCAGTAGCCATGGGTACTGATAGGAGAGGACTGTCAGAGTGAAGGGATGAGGAGTCAATTGTAAATCACCAACCAGTTCAAAGACAAGGTACACATGCTGGCTTCGTGACCCTGGAGAAGTCACTTCACCTCAGTGGCCCCAGCCAACGCTCCAGGTTACCAAAGAGTTGTTGCTATTCTAAGGAATTATCTGCCCAGATGAAATCACAGATGCCCTCACCCTCCCCAGAAAAACAAACAAACAAACCACCAACAGTCAAACAAGGATCAAAGATTTTTATCTGAGGATCCATAACATGGTTTAGTGGAAAGCGCCCAGCACCTGGAATCAGATGTCTTAGGGTCAACTGTGAGCCGAATGAACATGACTGTGGCCAAATCCCTTCTCCTTTCTGAGCCTCTGTAAAAAGAAGGCTGATTAGTTCTTGGGCTTCCTGCCTCGCGGGGTAATTGTGCTTGGTAACTTCTAAAGCACCACAGAAGTGGGCATTATGGCGATTACTATCCCAGAGCCTCCCACGACTAGCTAAAGTGAGCAACTCTCACCCTTGGAGGAAAGTCAGATTCCCAGACCTGGAAATGGTCATTAAGGTCTCTAATCTGACCTCCAGGCCCAGATTCTGTCTGTGCATCTTGACACAGACCAGTTTCCAGGGGGTCCCAGGCTGGGTGACCCTGCCTTTAGACCATGCTCCCCCACCTTCTGTTCTCCCAGCTCCTGCTTCCAGAGGGAGCTCTGCTGACATCTCCCAGCTATAGAAAGGACGCCCTGTTTTCTAGCGTCTCCTTCCAGCTCTGTCTGTTTTCCTGCAATACACCCAGTGTTAGAGTATGTTGGAGGCGGCAGAGACCTTAGAAATATAGAGGAATTCAGTGAGCATTTCCATCCAAGCTCTGGAAGGCATGTGCTGCGATAATTATAATAGCCAGCATTTATATAATTCTTTGAGATCTGCAAATCACTTACATGTCATCTCACTTGATCCTCCCAACAAGCCTATGAAATATGTCCTATTTATTGTTATCCCCCGTTTTACACCTGAGGAAGCTGAGGCTGAGTGATAGGTTAAGTGACTTGCCCAGGGTCAGACAGCTAGCTAGTGTCTGAGGCAGGATCCCAATTCAATTCTCCCTAACTCCAGGGTTAGCTTTATGCACCGGACCACCTAGCTGTGCTGTTTTCTGAGCTCCAGGCCTGGTTCCAACTCATAGACAATTTGCTTGGTTTTCTCATCTGGAAATTTAGGGTGATAAAATAAACAGACTACCTCCCTCTCACAGGGTTGTCATAAAATTGCAATCCCCACGGTAATGTGAGGTTTAGCCTCGTTGCTAGGCTTTGAAAATGCTCAGGCCGTAACCATCCACACCCTCCTTCCTTCGCCTGCCTATTTCTGGCTTGGATTCCACCTTGCCCTTTCTTTTCCCTCTCCGTAGTCTGGTCCCAGCCGTGCCCTTACTGTCCATGAAGGTGCCCATCTACAGCGTGGCCGTGACCAAGGAGAGGAGCCACATTCTAGTGGGGCTGGAGGACGGGAAGCTGATAGTCGTGGGAGCTGGACAGCCCTCGGAGGTGAGGGGAAGACCCCCGACGTTACCTGGGGGTGGGGCGGGGGAAAGCCTGGAACATGAGCATGACTCTTCCCTTCTGCCCACCCTAGGTGCGTTCAGGGCAGTTTGCCCGGAGACTGTGGAGATCAACCCGGCGGATCTCGCAGGTGTCTTCCGGAGAGACGGAATATAACCCACCGGAGGCAAAGTGATTGCCCGGCCGTCCCACCCCTCCTGGTGGTGCCAGCCCCCTAAGTCCAGGCGCTCTAGCTCAGCTCTTAGCGCACTCTGGGCCGCTCCTCCTCCTCTAGAATGGGGCGGGAGAACAAATAAATGCACTGGCCCTAGGCCCCCTGAGTGGGCAGGCCCCGTGCCCCATCCCCACCTCGGTGTGGGTGGGATGCCTAGGAGGATGGGTGGGGCTCTCAGTCTGGTCACTGGAGACATCCCCTTCTAGGGAGCTGAAAAAACCTCCCTCCTCTCCTCAGCCCCCTTCTCAGGCTGAGAGGTCAGGCATGCCTATAAATAGGCATTGGGGATGGGGATTGTTGTTTGCAGGTGTCATGCCCGCCCCTCAGCTCAGGGATTGGTGGGGGCCGGTATCCCTAGGAAAGGCCTGCCCCCTAGCAGGTATGGGGGCCAGGCAGCACAGCCTCTTTCTGGCTGGACCAGAGAAACCAGGCTTGTCTGTTTGTGGGTGGGGGTCAGGAAGGGGGAGGTGAGGGGTGTCTTGCTCTCCCCTGGGGAACTAGCCCCTGGGTCCTGTCCACGTGGCAGCACTTTGCACAGCCCGGGGTGGGATGGGTGGGGGGGTGTCCTTGACAGCCTGTCTTCTCCTTCCCAAACCCCCAAGCACAAAGGGGCCAGTGCCCGGTGCCGTGGCCTTAACCCTGTCCCTGTAAGTGGCCTTCCCCCGACAATAAACTTGCCCTGTTTTTGTAGCTGCCCAGTCTCGGTGTCTCTCTGCCCTCCAGACTTTGAACCCTGCATCGAGAGCTTTTCGAAGGGAGGCATCACACGTGCACACTGGTCCAACCTCAGTTGAAAGGGTAGGGGATAGAAACCCAGGGAAGAGAGAATGTACTACAGTCAAAACTTACACTCCCCCTCCAATGGGTCAGCACACTTTTACACTGTGCTGGACAGTGTGTGTGTGTGCGTGTGTATGTGTGTTTGGAAGGTCCACACAGTGATACAATTGCAATCATACCGATGATGTAAGACAGTTACACCATGGAACAAATGTCAATGTAGTGGTACACACCATGTCCTGCAAAGGCACAGTAATATGTGACACAAAAATACATCCACAGTTACACACTATACAGACACACAGTTGCCCCGCTATTCTTTGGGTGAGGGAAGGGAAGCAGGGGATGCTCCCCTTTGACCACAGAACCTGACCCTTTGGCCTCTTCGTTTTGATGCCCCCAATCTGCCTGCCAAGGGACCCACAAACGCAGGTAGGACTCCATGGTTGTTTGAGGAGTGAAGGAGGAGTCCTTCCTGTATGACTAGGACCGAGTGGAAAAACCTGAGGCAGTGGGGAAAGACGCCTCGGTTCTCCCTAGTCCTGCCTCATTCTTTCTCTAGCTGCCTAACTTGGGGCAAATGTTCTTCCTCTCCCTGGATCTCTATTCCTTTTACTCTACAGTAATGGGACTGAACTAGCCCTTCTACCATTCCCTTAAAATTGGCATTTTACAGCCTTCCTCTCTCCCCTTCCCTGCCCCTCCCTTCTTCTGGCTGGCTAATTTCTCTGTGGCTTTTGAGCACCTTCCGTGATCTTGAAAGGAAGAGCCCTGGGGCTGAATTAGCTCTTCCTCCCACCCCACCCCCTCTCTTCTCCTTTCCTGCCTCCCCCACCCCAGTAAAAATTTTATGGTCCCTCCACTCCCTTCCGCCCCGTGAAGGGGGTGTTGGATTCGCCACCCCTCTGAGATGAAAGGCCCCGCGGCCCCTCTCTGGCCCTCCTCTCCGGAGGTGGCCTGCAGCTCCCCTGTCAAAGGCGTCCTCATCTTCCCTGTTGTCTCTCTACCACTTCCCTCTCACCCAAGATGTGTGGCAGGGGGGAGAGAATTAGAAAATTGGCCCTGGCCCTTGTGTGAACTGCTGACTGGGAAAGGAAGCTAAAATCTATGGGTCTTTTCAAAGGTGTGTGTATGTCCATCTGTGACCTTGTGAGAGCAGGTATGGGACTGGAGCCTCAAGTCTGCAGACCAAGAACCTAGGTTCAAATCGTGACTGCAACTTAGTGACCTGTGTGACCTTGCACAGGTCCCTTCCTTCTCTGGGCCTGTTTCTTAAGTAAAACGAGAAGGATGTCCTTAGATGACTTGTGAGGTCTCTTTCTTGATTTCAAAGAAATGACTGAGATGAGACAAACCAGTCATTTGGCACTTTATCCACCTTTGGCCTCATTTCTCTGTTTAAGTGTGTTTCTTGTCTCGGGATGGTGGGGAAGCTCCCAGGGTCAGGGACCAAACCTTTTTTTCTTTATCTGATATACCAGCAGAGGGCTGAGGGAGGAAATGAGTAGAGAATCCCAGGAATACAGGGTGTTTCAAAAGACTTTGGGGACGATATTTTGCTTCATGTTTGTATTGCCAAGTTCATGTATGCTTGGCAATCATGGTGAATGCAGGTGTGTGTAGGCTATGTTCTGGGGTTGTGGACAATGTCAGACTTGAAACCAGGAGGACCGAGCTAGGTTTCCAGCCTTTCTTAGTAACTGGACATGTAAGTCTTAAGTTTCATTTCCCTCATCACAGGGTGGTTGGAAGGCTCAAATAAAGCACTTTGCCAGCTTTAAAGGCAAGCATATAAGATGAGTTGTGGTCGACCATGTGTCACAGACCTTGGGGGTGTGGGAATGTTTTGTTTTGCTCTTACTATATACCCCCTTCAATACCACCCTAAAAACGAATTGAGTCTGGCCGACTAAAAGATGATCAGCCCATAATCGCGGCAGGAAGTGCGTGGGGCTCGTTGGTACAGGAGCCCTGCCAGGCAGCTTCTCTGGTGGGTCTACAAAAAAGGCTTCGGCTTTGCTTTCTTCGGAGGCTGTAGGTGGAGGGAGGAGGGCAAGCTAGGGCAGGTACTGCCAAGTTAGAGCAGTTTGAAGTAGAGGCCCGGCTGCTCCCACGTCGGCACTGCCTTCAGGGGACCAGTCTGGCTCCCCAAGCGCAGAAAGGCCGCTCCTCCATCCCAGGGCTGCAGGGGAGCTCTCATCTCGTTCAACTCCAGATATCCTGCAGCTCATTTTACCCGGCTGGGGAAATGGGTCAAAGGGACTCACACAGCCGAGCCAGGGTCCTCGGGCTGCTCCAGAGGCTGACCACAAGCTGCGGCTCACCAGAAGACAGGCAGCCTGGCCTTGCTGTCTCTCTCGCTCTCTCTTTTTTTTTCCTTTTAAAGCAACAACTTCCCAAAGGCGCCTCCTAAGTAAGGCAGGAGGGGGAGGATGCGCCTCGGTAGGGGGAGCGCCTACTACCCTGATGGAACCGCGGAGCTTTGCAAAGATTTGAAATTTGAAATGAGCCGGGGAGCGGAGCATCTGACCCGGCGTGTGTGCTATGAGTGGTCCGACCGCTGTCGGCGTGGCTGGCGTGGCCTGTGCAAGGGATGGTGCGGGGGCCCGGGAGCAGGCCGACGGTCCGCTTCTATTGTTTGTGCTCGCGCGTGCCCTGCCCCAGCAGGTCCCTAATTGAGCAAAGATGGGGCTGGGGGGGCCCTGGTGCCCCCTCCCGCGGGACCTCCTAACCCCGCCTCTCCCCGGGCCCCTTTCCCTGGATGCCGCACCGGACGGGACTGGACGGGACGGGGCGGGGCGGGAGGCAATCCCAGCCCCCACAGAGCGAGGATGGGAGGGCGGTCCGACAGTTCAGAAAGTGGGGGTTGGGGGGCGGGAGAGGAGGCTTCGGCAGCGGGTAGGGGGAGGCAGGAGCAGGAGGAGCAGGAAAACCAGTCGGCGGCGCGGAGGGAGAGGAGGTGGTCCTTTGCTATCCTACCCCCCTTCTAGTCCCCCCTTCAGTTCCTCCGGCCTCCGCTCCGTTTGGGCTCCGGCTTACCCCCCCAAGATCACTACCAGACTCGTCGGGCCCCCAAACCCCGCTCTCGCCCCACCTCACCCCCGGGCTCTTTTAACCCACGTTGCCCCCTCTCTGGCCTCTCCAAGTTCTTGCTCAGGCTCCCCTCCCGCTTCCCTGTCCGACCTCCCTTCGGCTTCTTCTCTAGCGCTTGCCAGCCCCATTCGCCTAGTCCCCCTGCCCATTCTGCGCCCGCGCCAGTAGCTGGGCAAGTACTGAGCTTCCTCTAGGTCCCCTCCAGGGACCTGGGAGCCAGAGACGAAGAAGATGTCCGGGGACAGGCGGCGGCCGCGCCCTTGGCTCCTGTGGCTGCTCCTGAGGTCGCTGTTTCGGTCCGAGGTGAGCCTCTGTCTGCCCCACCCCCGGGTGGATGGCCCGTCCTAACCCGGGAGAGACACCTGGGAGGGAGGGAGAGAGGCTGGGAGGAGACAGCCTCGTCGCACGGCGGACCGCAGTTCTGACTTAGCCATGGGAAGGGAGTTGCAGTCGTTCATGTCCCTTCCCAGAACCTTCCCGGTTCATCCCTCAGCGTCCAGACAAGGCAGCGACCAACTCAGACGAAGTCTGAGAAGGTACTTCCATTTCCCAGTGGGAGGGGAGCCTAGTGGTGGGAACTCCGGGGCGGACTGTTGGAAAGGGGGGCTTCATTCTGGAGGGAGGCTTTTGTCCACTGAGTCTGACCCTGGTGGGGAGGGGGAGAGAGCTGGCCCTTGATATTTTGGAGAGGTGCATTTCAGACTCTTGAAGCAGGCCGATGGAAAAGTTGGTAATAGACTATTGGAGTGGGAGGGTCCTTAGGGATGTTACTAGTTCAATACTCTTTTAAAGATAAGGAAACTGAGGCCCACTGAGGGTAAGGAACTTGGCCAAGTTCACACATCAAGTTAATGCTAGTAGCAAAACTAGAAAACATGTCTCATGGCTTGAAAGTAGATCCCATGTGAATTTAAGAAACAGTCATGAACATAATCTCTAACATCTCCCCCCCTCCTCCCCACAGCTACCCCTCCTTTCTGGATCTGGAGGTTTTGACCATATCTACCATGCAAGCCTCAGCCAGGTTTGGGTGGGCGGGGAAGCCTAGGGCCCAGGAATGTGTGTACACCCAAGTTCTCCCTTCCCCTTCTATTCACAAAGGATGAAAGCCCCCAAGGCAGGGGTGTGGCCTCATGGAAATAATGAGCCATATACTAGGGGAGACATTGCCGAAGGCCCGGCAGAAAACAGCCATGCACATACAAGCATGCAAACAGGTTGAGGAACATGGAGCTGGGAAGACACTTTGAGATCCTATAGATAATTTTACAGATGAGGGATCTGAGATGCAAAGAGGGGTAGTTTCCTTCCCCAGTTCCCAGGCAGGGAGCAGAGCTAGCTATGAAATCTAGCTCTCGGTGCCTTGGGATTACCCCACAGTGCCTCACCCAGAGAAGCCGGATTCTTGAGGCACAAAGCCAGATGGGCTCTTAGAGCCTAGAATACAAAGCATTAGGGACCTTAGAAAATGGAACCGAATTTAGAACTGAGAAGGAACTTAGGTCTCATCTAATTCCCTCAATTTACAGTTGAGGATCCTGAGGCCCAGAGAAGGGATTGTCTTGCTTAAGGTCACTAAGACAATTAGAAACAGAGCTGGGTTCGGTCCTGCAACCCCTCCACCCACAAACCTAACTGCATCCCAGACAGGGCTGCATTTTAGGGTCAAGATGGGGTCACTAGGTCTTGAGCCATACCACTTTCAAAGGAAACTCTAAAGGGGAAGAAGGAATGGGGGGGATGGAGGGATTTATCTGGCTGGGTTCAGGAAGGTATTTGTCAGTTGGAGGGTCATTGTTGAATCCATTTGGCAGGGTCCTCCTCTCTAGGCCATCCATTTATTTCATCCCCTTCAGTCCAGATGGCCTAAGATTTCCTTTGGGAAAGAGGGTGTACACTTGTGGCATCTCTGGCATTGAGCATTCCTGCCAACCAAGAAATGATATTTTATGCCTAGAAGCAGGGTCTCATTGCAGGACCCTCTTCTGAGCTCTCAAAAGAGTCTGCTGTGTGATTCAGGGAAAGGTACCATACCTCTCTGGGCCTCAGTATCATCTGATTACACTGATTACTGAAGGTGCCAGGAATGAGACCCCATCTAAGATGTTTCCTATCTATTCAGGGCCTTGTTAGGGTAGGAGGAAAGAGTATGATTTATTCCAGAAAAGTCATGGTCCCATCTCCCCTCATATAGGCAAATAATCCCTAGTGTCCAGAGACACAAAGGAAATTGGATTGCAGAAACTGAAAGAAATTATTGGGGATGAAAGGAAATTGTGAACAGGAGATGCAAACTATGCCCCCTGCCCAGCCCATTTTTTCATCCTCTGTCCAAGCAAAGGTCACTGATAGTATTTATGTATTGTTTTTGTCCCTATCCCTATTTTTAAGTGTCTCTCTTTGTCCCTTTCACTCTTCCCTTTGTCATTCCTCCCATCTTCTCATCCCTCCATCTCCCCCACTTCCCCATTCCTCTCTTTTTCCATCTTGCCTGTCTCCCCATCCCCCTCTCTGTCTTCAGCTGAAGGAGGCTGTCCTAGTTCTCTCTCCGCCTGTCTTTGGAAGGGCCCCCTTGCTGGGTCACACCGGAAGTCTCCTCAGGCCCCCGCCCCCTTCTCTTTCTTCCCTTCCCCTGACTGCAGCTGTTACACATCAGTGTTTCTTTCCCAACGTTCTCCACAACATTCTCCTCGTCTGTGTCTCTGTCCTTCTCTCAGCACCCTCCCCCGCCTAAGGTTCTGGTCCCTGTTCTGCCAAGCTCCCATCTCTCCTCCAGCTCCATGGGCTGAGCCTGGGGGAGAGGAAGGAGGAGCCAATCAGGGGCCTGTGGGAGTGGGGAGTGGCCAGAGAAGCTGGAATTTGGGGGTGAGTTCCTCCCCAGTTGTTGGTATTCCTCCTTACTGAGTCTGTTTCCCAGGTGTGGGCTGGACAGTTCTGTCCCAGTGGGCTCTTCCCTTGGGGAGATCTGTGCTGCAACACCTGCCCCCCAGACTGGGGGACCTCAGAGCCCTGTGGAGAAGCTGATGTGAAGTGTAAACCATGTCTTTCCCGTAAGTGTGTGTGTGTGTTTCTGTGTGTGAGCGCATGTGTGCTCAAGCTTGGGGTTGGGGGAGGTGATTGGGGAGGAGGCCTGGCAGGGAGGTAGGGATGGGGAAAGGAAGGAAGGAGAGGAGGATATATTTTTTCATATAACTGTAATCAGTCTTCCTGTAGAGTACTTTACATTTTTCCAAAGCACTTCGGAGGTAGTAGAAAGAACATTGGCTTTTGTAGTCAGAAGACCTGGGCTCAGATGCCATCTCTGACACTAGCTGGTTAAGCCTCAACCTTTCTGAGCCTGTTTCCTCATGTATAAAATGGGGACAATTCTAATTGCCTCAACCTACTTCCCAGGGTCGGGAGGAAAATACTGTGTAAACTTTGAAGTGCTGCAGAGATGGAGGTCTCATGATTATTATTATGCTTGAGGTTTCCTGATCAACGCCAGATCGCCTTGTGAAGTCAGTTAGCCTACACATGGTGGGAACCAAGGCCCGAGATCACAGGTGGAGAGAATGGCAGGAAAGCAAACTAAAATTATGGAGTGGGAAAACTGGAAGCTTCTAGAAATGATCCCTTCCAAAGCTTTTATTTTACAGAGGACGAAAAGTTAGGCCCAAAGAGAAGTGATTCTTCCAAGTAGTCGTGGAATTTTTAGAGCTAGCAGGGGTCTGAGAGATCCCCTAGCCCACTCTCCTAGGAAGAAACAGTCCCAAAGGGGAAATTAATGGCCTGTGAGTTAGTATCAAACCCAGATTTCCTGGCCTAGGCTTATTGCCATGATACTCCCAGGTCTTACTTTGTTCCCCGCTTTCCCCCACAGATGAGACCTTGTCCTCAGAAGGCACTTCTGAGCCCTGCCAGCCATGTTGCAGCTGCCCCATTGGACACTTTCTCAACAGCACCAACCACTGCCAGCCATGCAAGGCCTGCCCCCCAGGCAGTGAAGCCAGGATTCCTTGTGGGAAGGACACTGACACTGTGTGCCAGCCCTGTCCTCCAGACACCTATTCAAAGGAGAGCAGTTTCCAAGAGCCCTGCAAACCCTGTACCCATTGCAATCAGAGCAAAGTTGTGGTCCTGGCCTGTACTCGACTCTTTGACACACTTTGCATGGGTGAGGTTGGGGCAGGGGAGGGGTCACATTCATGCCCAAGAAAAACAGGGCTAAAATTTGGGATGCAAAAAGCGAAGGCTTCAAGAGTGGAAGAAAGGCAATCACTGGGGATTGGATTACTCAAGGAAAGGCTTTCCAAAAGATGGTGGTGCGTGAGCCTTAAAGGATAGGGAGGATTTTGGAAAATGGGAGAGAAAGAATGTAGTCATAGGGTCTCAGAATCATGACATGAAGACTGGAAGGTTCCCTGAGCTAGAAGAGACCTTAGAATACAGAATATCAGAGCTGGGCTGGCAAGGAGCCTTGGAACAGATTGTCCAAGCTAGAAGGGACCTTAAAATGATGCAGTGAGGGGCAGCTAGGTGGCGCAGTGGACAGAGCACCAGCCCCGAAGTCAGGAGGACCTGAGTTCAAATCCAGCCTCAGACCAAACACTTGGCACTTACTAGCTGTGTGACCCTGGGCAAGCCACTTAACCCCAACTGCCTTACCAAAAAAAAAAAAACCAAAAACAAAAATGATGCAGTGACAGAGGTGCCCTGAGAATAAAAAAATATTAGAACTGAAAGGAATCTTAAGAGACCACCTAACCCAGCTCCCTTAGTTTTCAGAGATGGAAACTGAGGCGTGGAGAGAGGAAATGCTCAGGATCACAGAGTTAATGTCAAGGAAGATATTTGGGAAGGGGGGTGGTAGCAAAAATAGCCGGAGTTCAAAAAAAGCAAATAAACATTTCTTAAGAAGCCTACTATGTGCAAGGTCCTACCCTGCGATGGATAGGAAAGTGCTGGCCTTCTTTCAGTAGGAAAGGGGACCATATCGAGCAGACCATGAAGACCTTCCAGGAAGGATTATAGTCCCCAGGGTTCCAGGTTTCTGCTGTCCCCTAGGTGGGGAAGTAATGTCCTTCACTGCCAGAGAGGAGTTTACCAAGAGGGAGATGCAAGGGATTGTGATTAGACATCAACAAGCTGTCCCACGTATGCAAACTGGGCGTGAGTGCGTTGCTGATAGGCCAAGCCATTCTCTTCTCTGGTGCCTTTCAAAGGGTTGTCCAGTCTTCTCTCTCTAGCTCTCTCCCTTCTGTTTCTCCAAGGTTCCCCAGCTTTCCAGGCCTGCTCTTTTAGTGAAAGAGAGAGATCCTAGCCCTTACGTCAGTCACAGTCAATAATGCAGTACAGCAGCCAATGAAACTAAATGGGTTTTAGACTGTATTGAGAAGCATAGTGTCCAGGACTAGGTAAATGATAGTCACAATTGACTCTGCCCTGATAAATCAGAGGTGGAGTATCAGTTCCACACTGTCCGAAGGACAATGACCAAGATGGTAGCAGAAAGGGTTCCTCTGACGTTCTATTCCAAAAACTGTCCCCCATCCTTCTGACCCAATGTCCTTTTGTCACCTGCCCCTCCTCTGCCCCTTTGTCTGTTGCTCTGTTCCTCTTTGAAGTTCCCATCCTTTTGACCCTTCATGCCCCCTACCTTGTCACTCACTCCTATCTGCCCCATGTTATCTCTAACCTCTATTCTCCATCCCCTTGTCCTAATCATCTCTCTGGCCCCTCTATATTTGTCCCCCATTTAACAATCATTTACCAAGTTCCTCCTAGAGAAAGGTCATGTGTAGCCTCCTACTTGAGCTTAATCTCTGCCTCCTATCTTTTGATCTCCTTCCAAATCCTTTGTATGCACTAACCCCATCCCTCTGATTCCATCCCTGTTTGGTTCTCACCCAACTGCGGTTTTGTTTCTGCCCTTCTGATTCCTAGGACTTTGCCTCCCATTTCTGTGACCCTTTGTCATTCCATACATCCTTCCTTCCATCTGGATTTAATCTTTTTGACTCTCCACCCTTTCCTCCCCAAACAAGGAGAAGATCATGAAACACAGGGGTGGAGAGGCAGAGGGACGAGGGTAAGAGAAATGAATCTTGGCCCCTAATGCTTCCTCCACTTTCTCCCCAACATCATCTCATTTCATATGCCTTTGTTTGTCTCTATCCAGGTTATGAACTAGATACCTCTCTTCTTCCCCAATCCATCTTCCACCACATAACACCCAGGGAAAGGAACTGTGTCTCCTCTCTCCTCCCTAGTGTCTAGAATACTGCTGTGTACAGAGTAGCTGAAAAGGCAGAGTGGTTGAACTATGTGATCTCCTAATCTTCCAGCTTTAAATCCTAGGATGCCCATGAGTACCCCGTTATAGCCAAGGGTGAAGAGATGAGGGAGAGGCCCCAGAAGATGTAGCCTGGGTCTGAATCCAGGCCTGGAATTCTGGAACTGAGGGCTTGGGTGTGGCAAGAACTAGTCTGAATCAAATGGAAAAGGAAAGAGGGGCTCAAGTCTGTTTAGGGAGTTGGGCGAGAGGTAAAGTGAAGCTTAGAATGGATGAGGCAGGCGGAACGGGGGACATAAAGTGCCCAGAAATCCCAAGCAACCCCAGGAGACAGTCAGGGAAGGGAGACACATGATGAGTACTGAAGGCCACAGGGAAAAGAAAAGATCCTGGCCAATGTGGCTCTGAAGCTTTTCCCCCACACAAAGTATTTTGTCTCTAGGACTGGGGATCCCCTCTGGGGCATCTGAATACCTATGTGTTGCCCAGTATATTCGTAGGCCTTGGAGCACAGGTAGGAGGGGAAGAATGATGGGATCCAGTCATTGGATCCTGTCCCCACCTCTCTGTCCCTTTGTCTCATCTCTCTCTGTCGTCCCTCTGACCTCCTCTTCCACATACCCATTTTCGGTATCTTGGTCCACCGCCGCTCTCCCCATCATTCTGTTCCCCCTTGGCTATATTCTTAAGCCTCTCTCCTATCCCTCCATTCCTGTTACCCTGCACCTGATAACTGACTTCACCTATACCTCTGGCCTGTACCCATTTCTCTGAGGCTTCATCTAGGGAAGTTCCCCATACCTTTGTCCCTTGTTTCTCTGGCACTCGTCATTCAGTCTCCCCGTAGTCTGAACTTACCCACGTACCTCTTGCTTTGTCCCTCTGTCCCCTTCTCAGATGAGGAACTGCATGTCCTGATCCGTGACGCAGAAGCCAAGGGCACAGACTCCAATGTCTCCTCCACCTTCCCCTTGCCTCCCAGGGATTCTGGTGTGATCATCCCCATATACTGCTCCCTACTGGCAGCTGTGGTGGTCGGACTCCTAGCCTATGTTGCTTTCAAAAGGTAGGTGGGGAGCCTAGGTCTCTCTTGGACCCCCTCCCCAAAGCCCAGCACCAAACTTAATGGATAGGGAGAATCTGGAGGTTGGTGGGTAGAGAGGGTGTGTCCCTTGGCACTTCAAGGCTCACGCTCTCACTACCTGCTCAACAGCTGGAGAACCTGTAAACAGAAACAACAGCTGGCAAAGGCTCGGATTGGGGAGCTGGGTGTCGCTGAGGGGGAGAAGCTACACAGTGACAGCAGTGTCTGCTTGGACACAACAGGACTCCATGAACTCCATGGCTTGGGCAAAGGTGAGACCATCACAGTGCATGTTTCCCTATAGCTCAAACCTCCTTCTGCCACTGACCATCCAGCCCCCATCTCTACCCTCTTTCATCACTGAATCCCATTCCCCATGTCTCTTCTCTTGTGTTACCGTTACTGCTACCCTTTCCTCATTAGGGGCCCAGACGGAACCCCGTCAGTGGCATCTCTATGAACAACTACCCAGGAAGCAACAAGAGGAGGTGGAGCAGCTGCTGGTGGCAGGCAGCCCACCCAGAGCAGGCTGGCAGGTCTTGGCAAAGCAACTGGGCTATGAAGCTGAGGCTGTGGAAGTGATGGGCCAGGGCCCAGCACCTGCTCACACTCTGCTATGCAACTGGGCCACTGAAGGCGGGGCAGGAGCCACCCTTGAGGTCTTGGAGACATCACTGAAAGCAATAGGCCGAGAAGATGTGGCTAGGGCCCTGTGGAGTCCTGATGAGGGTAATTCCATGGTATGAATCTTGGGCCCTGGCTCTGTCAAACTGGGGCTTTCCCCCCCCCTTCCTCCATCACCCTGCTTCTCTCAGGGAAACATGGCTGGCTGCTTTGACTTCAGGGTTCATCCCCTCTATACCTCTCACCCAGCCAGGCTCCTAGTATCATAGCTCTGCCTATGAGGAAGGCTTATGAGGCCCCCATGCCCTTTTTCCCTGGCCCCAGAAGGTGGTTCGTAATGTCCAATGGATAGGAATGGGCTTTGGTCCCCATTTTATTGCCCCACAGTGAAGTCCCTTGAGAACTAGGGGCTGGATGAAGTAATGGAAGGCCCTCTTGACCTTCCTGCCAGGATGGGAAGTTTCCATTTCTTTGAAGTAGGAATTAGGCTTAGGGGGAGAGGGCCTCTGAACCCCTACCTCTACACCGATATTTGGTCCCACCATTTATGTTTACAAATTAAAGGATAACATGTCTAACCTCCTTTCAGTTGTCTGGACTTTCTGGGATGGGTCGTCATCGTTATTGTTGTTTGTCCTTCATTCTTGAAGAGCACCATGACATCAGGAAAATGATGCCATGACTCTCAAATGAATTGGATTTAAGTGAGGGAGGGCTGTGCAAGGTCACCAGCCTCACCTCCTCCAGAGCCATCTGGGTCCAGTGGCAAGATATAGATCAGGATGACTGGAGATGGTCCCTTCTGGGATGGGAAAGAAAGGAGAGGGTGGAAGGAGGAAGTGGGGAAAGTGATGTTGGAGAGTTGCTAAAAATAGCCCTAAGGGATCAGGACATGTTGAGAGAAGACTTCTGTGACCACTTTCCTTGACCAGCACCATTCTCCTTACCCTCCATTCTCCTACCCTCCCCCAACTTATCAGTCACAGAATCTAATGTCAGAACCAGGAGAGACCTTTTAATTTTTGTTCAGGCCTGTGAGAACTCCTAGTAAGAAAACTACCACTGGAGATTACCAACTACTTTACAGTAGATTTAGAAAAGTCTAGAGGCATCAAGGGATTGGGACCTAATTCAGTCGGACACACATAGCCCATGAGCAGGCTTGGGAAGCCAGTTCTATTATTCCATGATGCCATTTGAAGGGCTTCTTACAATAAACAATGTTAACAGCTGGAAGAGACTTGAGACCAATCTTATCCAAGGATTCTTACCTAGTTTTGTGTCATGATGAAACTTATGGACCCCTTCTTAAAAAGCATAAAGTAAAATATATAGGATTACAAAAGAACAATTAAACTAAAATAGTTA